AAAAGTGTAATTACAAAAGTCGCCCTTGGGGTTTATATAAACTCTWGTTTTCACCTCTAACTTTTGGAATTTAGAAGAAACATGATTAGGGTTTGTATTTCATTACAAATTTCATTCCTGGCAATTATCACCATTAAAAGATATCGTTAAGTGCCTCACGTGCTAGTCACATTAGGAGCATTTCTATCATTTTCTTCATCGTCGTCTTTCTTMTTTGTTCCATCATCATGAACCTGATTTTTAGGCAAGAAAATGATGAACATCAACCCAACCTGGAAYTTACAAAATGAAGAACATGAACATTGAACCATTCTCAACCCTAAAACTACAAAATCAATACATAAATAGATGCAGAAACATACTAGAATTTTGGATGCGGTTAATCAACGTTAAAGAAAAACACAATAGATCATTCCAGATCTTTTATGAAACAAAACCATAAATTAAAGATCAAAATACATCAAAATGCAAAAAGAAAGGATTTAATTCCTATCTATGTAACAAGTGTTTTTTCTTCGATGCCACACACATCAATTGAGATGGCTCTCAAGTTTCATAAGGAGTTCCTATAATGGCTCATAGTATGGCTATTAAGAGGGCTATAACAGACATAGTAAATCTTGATTTCTTTAACAATTACAGTTTGTTATGTCGGTCATAATTTCATGAATATGACTACAGGTTACAATGATCCATGTGATCTGCCCCCTTCTCCTTTACAACATCGTACMTCGCTCGCAATCACAACCAAAACATTGTTCGTCGTTTGCCATTGAGATTCGTCGTCTGTGAGCATTCAATCTTTCATTTCCTATTCTCTCTGACTAACCCTCTCTTTCCTAGTAGCGAGTTTAGGTTTTTTAAAGTTTTGATTCAACTATTTTGTGCATCAAAACTTATTTAATTGGTAGAAAATATCAAAAGTTTGTTACATTAAATAAGAATTAAACCAAACCTTGCTCCATTTTAAAACCCTAAAATCATAACTTCATAAACATCAAAATTCTAAAAACCTTAAAATAGAAAAAAGTTGTTGTTAACTCAAACTGTAGTAATTAATTCATAAAATCAAACACATGAATTAGAGTGGGCAGTCCCCGTGATTTCCTATTGATTTCTACCACCGCTGTTGGGTTGGTTTTGGGTTGTAGAGCTCTTACTGGAGTTGCAAAGATGATCGTGGTTTTCATTTTTGAGGGGGAAGGAGGCGTTTGATTTAGTTTTTAGGTTTTTTTCCTTTTCCAAAKAGCATTACAAATGTTTGTGCATATGACTCAATAATTTGTACAATAAAATTATTTTATAAAAGCATTAGTAAGATGACAAAAATGCCCCTCACACGACTAGCACATAAGGACATTTAACAACCACCAATGAGGCCAAGGGCCAAGGGAGAAATCCTTAATAAAAATCAAGGTTCTGAATGGCATGAGTGTAAGCCACGAGCCTTAGGAGTTACGTTGAGTTAGCAACGTTTTTCATGACCTGACTTATGCAGCAAATCTCTACATCATATGTAATATTAATATATATATATATATATATATATATATATATCTAACAACTATGACATTAAAAAAATAAGAAGAATTAAATATCATGTTATAAAAAGCATACATTAAACCATGATATGCTATAAATTAAGGCTTAAAACACAGTCCTTACCAGACTCGTTCCTAACATTTTATAGGCCCTGGGCGAATGTAAAAACATGGCCCACTGCAAGAAACAAGACAACGAMTTTTGTTGTCGCAAAAAGTTCATTTATCATCAGAAAGAGTATATAACAACGACATGCTATAACTTGTAGCGGAAACATGTCATCTCTAAGAAGTGCATCGTTAGAGTTCAATTTTCTTGTAATGACCCTYGGTAAGTACGAAAAAAAATTCAATAATTTTTTTTCATCAAGATAAAATTGAGAACAAGAAATGCTAATAATTAAGTGAGGAAAAAAATCTTAATAACAAGAAATATGTGTTATTTTGATACAAAAAGAGCATTCGTGTGAATAAAATAATCATGAGGGTCAATGAGAGATCAATAATTAAGAAGATTATCAAGGTTTTCTATACAAGTAGACAAATGATGATCAATAAAAATATGAAAGAAAAGATGATCCATTGAGATCCAATAAGAATACATAATGATTAAACATATAATATGCAAGCTCAACAAATGATTATTTGAGCACTTAAATAGGATCTTGTGGTGTGGTGAAACCCCAATGAAAGATACATAAGTCAAACAATTGATGAAAATATCTAAGTTCTATTTTCCTTCTTTTTTTGTTCAACTAAAATAATATATTAACATTAAAAGTTTATGAAACATGACATATATAAAAGATATTACTCAATACATCTAGTAAAAAAGTTTTATTGATTAATCATAAAATCATGAAACACGTCATAAATTATAAGAACAATAGATTGATTGTCAAACAATAGTAAAATATTTTATGTAGAAGCAAAAATAGATAACAATAGTCAACAAAACAATTAGAACAAGATAACCAAATATCAATAGTCAATAGAAACAGAAATTGATAAAAATGTTCAACAAAAATATATACCAATAACAAACACATGATCTTAACATTAAATTGTTGAAGCACAAAAACAGTGAAGCATATAGAGATAGCAATAACCAATATCATTGGACCTTGTTGGAGATAAAAAAAATTAGAGAAACAATAAACAATAACATATAATGAATGACTAATTAATTTTTTTATTTTCTTCTTCAATGTAATTAGTTGATATATTTTTATGTCATTACTATCTACTAAATTTTTTTTGTTTCTTATTATATACTACAAATTTTTGAGTTTTTTTTTTTAATTTATTAAATTCTTTTAGAATAATATTGTATTTTAAAGAAAAAATTTAGGTCCCTTGACATTTTTAGGTCCCGAGTGTGCACCATATCGCCCTCCCAGGACGGCCGTGGTCCTTACATCCAACGTTCGGGAACAATGATAAAAGTACAAACCTCAATCATGTTCCTTGTAATTTTTAATGTTAGGAAGGAAAACAAGAGTTTCCACAAATCCAAGAGACGAATTTTTTATAATTTATTCTAAAATATTAATCCATTTATCTTGTTATTTATATTCAATAAATTAAAAAAAAAAGAACATTTTTATGAAATACGTGGTTTGCTTAGCCTGGACCCCTGGCAGCAGTCGACTAGTCGTCACGCGAATACGTGGTCAAAGCACCAGATTCTTTCCTTACCAGCGTTACCCAAACGTCGTCGACTATAAAACCTTCCGACCACCGTCTCCGATCCATCAATCTCTTCTGCTTCTTTACTTCAAATCACAGAAATGGACATCCGAGAATCAATTACCCACCAAACCCACGTCTCCATCACACTCGCAAACCATCTTCTCTCCAAGAAATCCCCAAACTCCAACATTGTTTTCTCTCCGCTTTCCCTCCATGTTGTTCTGGGATTGGTMGCCGCCGGTTCCAAAGGCCAAACGCTCGATCAGTTGCTCTCTTTTCTCAAATCAAACACCATTGATGACCTCAACACTCTTTCTTCGCAGCTTGTGTCCTTGGTGTTCGCCGATGGTAGCCCAAGCGGTGGCCCTCGTTTGTCTTTTGCAAACGGTGTTTGGGTTGATCAAACCCTGTCTCTTAAACCTTCTTTCAAACAGGTTGTGGATGGTGTCTATAACGCAGCTTCTAATCAAGCCGATTTTCAGAACAAGGTCAGTTGTAATTAACTTAAGAAATGAAAGTATGTTTATTTATGATCTGCTAATGTTATGATCCGCATTTAGRGTGAAGATCCAAAACAAATGAGTCCACCATTCATAATAACATAGGGAAGTAATTAAAACCCAATCGTTCCCTGCAACAAATATGTCGTTTCCATTGTGATGTAATGATTTTGTGAAATCACTTTCAGTTTCAGATCTTTTCATATCTCCATTTTTAGGTCACTTTTTGGGATTACTACCTTTGCCCACCTATTTATGCTCAAACCCAATTGGAAACTTCAGTTTAATTTGGATCTATCCAAACTGGAAACTGATTTGGCATTTGTGTGCTAGGGTTCATCTGAGCATTGTGTGCTAGGGTTCATAAGGGAAGCCTAATTGGTGGTTTCGAAATCGATTTGGCTATCCCTTCTGCATTATTTCCTGTTTCTGGGATCAACAATGCTAGTTTATGAATCATCATGACATCTATCAATGCTAGGAAATGCATGATCTTGGAGTAGTGATTGGGGAGGTTAAGATGTACACAAACATTATCTCTTCCCCCAAGGAGTAGATAGACCGTTTTCGAAGGCCCCCAATTTGTAAAAGTGTTAGCAAAATGGGATTTTGCGAGAAGATTTTGGTTCTAGAAGTTAGACAAAGTTTGAAAGAGGAAAGAGATAAAACCAATAAATAGTAGAAAAGCAGGTTAGGAAAATCGAAGTAGAAGTAACAAGAAAGAAAACCAAACGTAAGGACAATAAAAGCATACGAGAAGGTACAAAATTACTAAACTAACCAAGAACGAAGTAGTTGCTGACTCTCTAACCCCGTCCTAGGACATCGATACCTAACTTCCGACTGTCTAACCTGCCTCCAACCCCATCTACCTCTCCATCCCCTTTTCCCTTTTCCCTTTTCCTGCTCCCATCTAGTATGGAGATATCTTTAGCATGTTTCTTTCAGAACATTCTTTATCAAACATATGTGTAACTTTTTATTTGCTATAGATAATTAACATTTGTACTTATTGATAAACTCAGGCTGTTGAGGTTGCCAATGAAGTGAATTCATGGGCCGAAAAGCAGACCAGTGGCCTTATCAAAGATATCCTCCCTGCTGGTGCAGTTAACAACACCACCAGGCTCATATTTGCAAATGCAGTCTACTTCAAAGGAACTTGGAACGAGAAATTTGACCCATCAAAAACAAAAGATTACGATTTCCATCTCCTCAATGGGAGCAAAATCCAAGCACCCTTCATGACCAGCAAGAAGAAACAATTCGTGAGTTCGTATGATGGTTTCAAAGTCTTGGGCCTTCCCTATCTACAGGGCGAAGATAAACGGCGTTTCACAATGTACATCTATCTCCCAGATGCAAAAGATGGTCTCCCGTCTTTGATGGAGAAAATAAGTTCTGGATCTGATTTCTTGGAACGACACATTCCTTACCAAAAAGTAGAAGTCGGGCAGTTTTTGATCCCAAAATTCAAGATCTCATTTGCGTTTGAAGCTTCTGAGACGTTGAAGGAATTAGGTCTGGTGTTGCCTTTCTCGGGTGGAGAAGGTTTAACTGAAATGGTGGAATCCTCCATTGGTGGAAACCTGTATGTTTCAAGCATTCATCATAAATCCTTTGTGGAGGTGAATGAAGAAGGTACAGAAGCTGCAGCAGCCTCTGCAGCTGTTGTGATGCTCAGATCCCTGAGGACCAATGATAAGATCGATTTCGTAGCAGATCATCCCTTCTTGTTTGTTATTAAAGAAGATATGACCGGAGTCGTGCTGTTTATAGGACAGGTGGTTGATCCTCGTGATTCTTGATCCAGAAGTTGAAATCTTTTTATCGCGTATGATGGCTGTATTTGTATTCTAAATGTGTGCTATAATGTGCGTTTCTTACCAGTGTCAATAAATCTCTAGTTCTATGAATCCAATTTGTTTTGGATGGCCTTGTTTCCGGTAAATATCTGATTATGGTATGAAAAGTTGTCAGTGTAAATGAGGATGGTGAGTCTTGTCGGAATCACTTATCCGATAAGTGTTTAGGAAACGAACCTTACATGATCAATGTTGACCGATTGGTGTATGCTTTTTGGTTAAATTGAGTAAATCTATTCGTCAAACCGAAACAAAATGGCTTTGGTAGTTATCTAATTGACCAGTTGGTTTGAATTTTTTAAAATCAAGTTGTCCGGTTTGATTACTGATAAACCGTACCATGTATTTTTCGTCCRTATGGTTTACCAAAACTCTGGTTCTTATCTTGATCTGGTATTTATGGAAGACTAATGCTTACACACTAAAATGAAAAAAGATGACACTATTAAACATGCACTTTTTCTGACGGAAAAATYTGCCTGAAATAAGGATTTCCAGTCGGAAGGAAAAACCTTTTGTGGTGGASTTGTGGTAGAATTCTTTAAATAATAAATATATATTCCACCAAAAATCTGCCACAAAAGTAATMGAAATTAATTTTAATTTTATTTTTTAAAATCAGTGACAAATTTATAACAGAGAAGGTGACCTATTTTATATCCGTCAGAAATCTACCAGTAATTTTCTAACGAAACATCCGCCTCTGAAAGTGAGTTTCTTTTATTAGTGTTATGGGTTTGTAATTGTAAAAGATGGAACCATTACACACATAAACACACACTAAATCAAAAAGATCTGTGTATGTCGTTTATGGTTGAAGGCATCACTTGGGATTTCTCTTTAGTTAACATTTAGTTGTGTTAATTTTACAAAATCTCAATGAACCAATAAAAAACAAGATACATTTTGGTTGATGCACATGATAAATTTATTTAATGAGAATAAAAATACAAATTTTTATTTGATATTTCTTTTAATGCAAATCAATTTTCGGTTACATTTCTTAATTATTCCATRTCTTCCCATTGTGAATATCGCGTGCAAATTAATTGTCGGTTATGCTTCTTAATTATTCCAAGTAAATTAATTGTCGGTTACATTTCTTAATTATAACTAGGTAAACACTTGTTCATAAGTGAACCATCTCGTTTCAACATTTAAAAAACTATTGTGTTCATATGTAAACCTGATAACCACATACACGTAACAAAAACTAGGTATGTACAAATTACCCATTATTAAAAAAAATCGAATAGTGTTCAGAAGTAAACACTTGAACATTGTTCATAAGCACAATTTGATTTTTGTTTATAGGTGAATCAGGTATCATTCCACATTTATTTCATATATGAATGAGACTACATAGTGTATGTGTTTACTAAAATAAAACTTRGATGTTACAAAAATCTTTACGATTTCTTTTCCATATACACCCCTATTCACACATGAACAATTCCCATAAATATCGAATACTTGTTCACACATGAACCATTAGCCAAAAAAAGCTRTAGAAGAATCTGATGTCGGGGATCTTGTTGTCAGTTTCGATTCAATGAGAAGAGTAATTACAAGATAGTTACWTTGTTATTAATGGGCAGTTACAAAATATCTCATTGTCATTAATGAACAGTTACAAAACATCTCATTGTCATTAATGGACAACTTAAATCTTTTCCCAAAGTATCTCTTGTAAACATTGTTCACTTATGTTACATTGTCTACGTGTGCAATTATTTACATTTTATGTCATGAATGATCTCAGTCACAAATTTCAAAGATCAATCGATAAAATTGGTTCACAAAGTTAACACCATATATTGGGTTAACAAATGAACTCACCACTATATATATATATATATATATATATATATATATATATATATCCTACGCCGGGTCTAAATAGCCCCTGTGACCACCTGAGTTGTTTACTTAATTTTTAGTTCACTCACCCACGTGCCCAATACTTGATGTTCCTGAAAAAGCCCTATATTATTACTAAAGCGCTATCTATCATCACGTCTTGGGCAACCGCCTCAAGATTCACTCATTATAGGAACACCATGTATAATCTCATTAAGTAGGCAAAATCTCATTTTATCACAGAATCTCGAACATAAGACCATCATAGTTTTGAGTTCCAAATTCTTCAATACTTTGGAATAAATGTTCCCCGAGTATTTAAAACCATTCCCCTACACTTGTTTCATCAAAATATGTAAAATCTCCAAATTCCTAAATTTGATCTAAAAGGACCAAAATCAACCAAATGCAAAATAATTAAAGTAGAAACTTAGAAGAAGAAAAATACATCATTTTAATATGTATATGGTTTTATAAAAGTAAAGAATGAACTCATAATGCTAGGTTTTGATGAAAACCTAGAAAACCAAGAAATGTTTGGAGATGGGAAAGAAACTTGGATCTTTAGCCTAGATGAGGTTTCAATGATCTTGGATGAGTGGAAATATGGAATAAATAGTAAGGAAATTGCATTCAATGAGGGAGGAAGAAATTTGGGAGAGAAAAGAGTTCAGTGAAAAAAATGAGAATGAAAACCCAAAAACCGGCTCTAAAAACGTTAGCCAGGGTGTTCACTAGTTTCACCGCTAGTTAAACTAGTGAACAAATTAGCTCGAGCACTTTGAACAAATCAAGCAGTGATATTCACTAGTTTGATGCTAGTTAAACTAGCAAACAAACTTTATTTTTACAATCAGCATTGACGAATTAGCATCGAATTTACCTTGTTAGACTGACGGTTTCTCTTTGGTGAACCATTCGTAATTATAATATATTTTTACAAAAATGGAAAAATATTTAAATGTTTATTTCTTGTATATTTTCAAAAACCTATCCTAATAATACATATAAATAAAATTTTCCATGCAATATGTTAGAAGAAAGTTGTCCGTAAGGGTGGAATTGGTACGATACCAAAAATAGTTCTCCGATAACATGTTCCAACCAATTATAATTGATATGTAAAATCTTATACCATGTATCAACTAAATGTACTTAAGTGGTACCACGTTTTTTGGTCTACAAGTTGGTACTGGTTTTGTATCAACTTAAACTTGTCATTTGTTCAAATTTGAGTTGCATTTTGAGTTTTCATATATTATATGTTGTTTACGGGTTTTTAATTGCACAGAATAAAACCTGCAAACATTTAAATGTTGAAACAAAATAGTTAAAGTTATACAGTGTTTAATATTATATACACTGGAGGAGGGAGCTACTGCCCATGATGATACTTCCGTGGTACATAACTTCCAATACCATGTACCGATCAAGTTTGTATATTTGATACGGTACTACCAACCAATTATAATTAGTAAACTGAATTTATGGTCAGTACACATGTTAGTTGGTTGATTTGGTACAAAATTACAGCCCCTATGAAAAGTGAGTTTGAACTATGCGCCTTTAGCTGCAACATCATTCCTCAACAAGAAGCTATTGCAACGACATGTTGTCTTTATAAACCGTTTTTTATGATAAATTGACTTTTAGCGACGACAAAGATCGTTGCTAAAACCATTGTTTCTTGTGGTAGCTAATTGTTCGTACTATTTATATAGGGGGAGACGGACGAGTCTTTACTAACACTGACACATGAAATCACTGAACTGCTTAGATAACATGGCTTGCTCTACTAACCGGGGGGCTAGCTGGCCAATACAAGAAAAATTATAACTAGTGACAAAAAAAATTTGGTCACTAAAGATATGAAATTGATCACTCAGGCCGCTTAGTGGCCAAAATTTGGATGGTCACTTTTCATCACTAAAGGTCCGTCACTGATTTGGGCTAATTACTAAATATAAAAATCAGTGACAAATTTAGAGTGGTCGCTCTGACAGTGACGATCGTTACTAAACAACTGAAAGTTGTAACTAACTTGACTATTAGTGACCATCACGAAGTAGGTAGCTGGTTGGGTTTAAGATAACGGCTCCGTTAACATCTGTTAATGTCCATTAGTTTTTAAATATGTGGTCACTGAAATTAATGGTTGTTAATTACCAAAAACCTGGTCACTAATTAAGAAATTATGAAGAAAAAGTTTGTCACTAAAATTCTAGTATAATTGTTATTGCAATAAAATCAAAACATACTAATTCGTAATGATGAAAATCTAAAATATTAATTCCAATCGTATAACTTGATCCAAACTAAAAACAAATTGCATAAAAAAAGTTGTATTGATTCTACAAAACTAATTTAAAAGTTAGAAACTGAACCAGTACGTTCAACCTTTCTTATTAGCACGACTACAAGGAAGGTGAGTAGCAACATTGCCACTTGAACCACAACACGTACACATACTTTCATCTTCTAAAGCCTCCTCAAGTCTTGTTTCTCAACATCATCAGATGATAACTCCATTCTGATTAGCAATGAAACAAGGTCCACAATTAGAAACCAGATACATGGAGAGCATATTGCTATATTTTTCACCATATAGATCTGAAAATTCCTTTTCTGTCAATTGATACATGCAAAAGTCGCTTGCTTCAATATCAAAAACCTGACACAAGCAAAAGTCGCTTGCTTCCTAACCAATGATTGAAACTCATCAGTCATTAACCAACATATTTAACTACTTCACTAGCTAATTCCATCACTTGGTCTCCTCTATACGTCAACCATAAGATGTTTAGCAAAATCAATGCACAAGCAAACATTAATTGTTTCCATCCAGCAGTCGTGTAATTATATACCAAAACAACAAAACTTGATTAAGCAGTTATATAAATGTTTGCTTTTACATGATTATATATCAGAAATATATGATGCCAACTTATACATGTTCAAATCATCAGACGTGATGTTAACTAAGGCAGCAGGCAAGCAAGGACTTAGGGGTCGTTTACTTAAATGCTTATCCGGTAAGTGCTTAACCTTAGGAGTCAACACTATAATTTATTTTAGTGGGTATGATTGTAGTACATCAAAACGTATTATATGCAACAATTTACCTGGTAAGCACTTACCAGGGTAAGAGTCGTCACCGTCACTTACTGGGTAAGACTTTCTATCCTTGTCAGCACTCTTACCGGGTAAGATTCTTGGCCCTTGCCATGTTCATCCGGTAAGGAAAATTACCTGGTAAGTACTTATCGGATAAGCATTTAGTAGATGCCCCTTAATTCGACCATGCAACCACGATTTGCCACATCACCTTCAAACATACACATCACCTGGTACATAACTACTAGGATGAGATAGGAACACAAACAACCATCACGAGGACCTACATACCTAAGCAAGCTATGATATCTCCTGAAGCAATGTAGACCAAAACCTTCATTTCATTTCAAGTTTGTCATTTTTTTTATTTTTTTTATTTTTTTTGTCACCATAACTTCAAACTTAGTGACCACCATTTTTATTATGTCAATAACATTCCCAAATAATACCAACTAACTAGCGACCACTATTTTTGTCACTAAAACTTCCAACTTAGGGGCTGTTTACCAACTCTTATCGGATAAGTGCTATCCGGGTAAGAGTGCTGACCCGAGTAAGTGCTATCCCGGTACGTGCTGTCCCAACTAAGAGTGTTTACCAAATATTTTTGGTAAGTTCTTACCAACAATATAATGACCATTATAACCCTATTTATAACTATATATTGATTAGGCATTTTTTCATGTAATTATCCGGCCCAAATGTCATGTGGATTATTCCAAATCTAGATAGAAAGCCATCCATAAATTCAAAGCTTCAGCCCAAAACATYAGCCCACATACATCTTCAATTTGAAAAGCCCAAAAAACACCATACAACAAAACCGACCAACCAAATCAGATCAAATCATCAAAGAACATCCGCATCATATCTATAAACCCTAAATCCCAGTTCAAAAAGCCTCCCTTCGATTATCTCCATAGATGAAATCAWCGAAAACCACAAGAACACAAACCATCAAATCGGAACCCCAATCATCCTCAAACATCCCAACCGGCGATCCCCACCCCCAATCGGCAAAACCACAATCACATGCAGCCATCGGCGAATCCACAGTCAAAATCAACCCTCCACGACTTGAGAATGCTTTACACCTGCAAACCCTTTCCCCATTATGTTCTCGTTCCTTTCCCAATCTCCCTAAAAGAGGGCAAGTATGGAAACGTGAAATCTGACTTGGGTAAGCATGAAATCGAAGCTGACGGGGTAAGATTTCGGTCAGATCTCGGTCAGATTCGTGATTTGGTAAACACACTGACTGCTGACCGAGTCAGATATGCTGACGGAGTCAGTCCGGTCAGCAGTTAGTAAACAGCCCCTTAGTGACCACCATTTTTTGGCCACTAAACCTTTTAACTCAGTGATAATTATTTTGGTTACTAAACACATAAATTTATAATATTAGTGATGAGAAAACAMAGTTGTTACAAATTTAATATATCATTAAAATAGTTTGATATGAAAAATCTTTTATTTTTTGTCACTAAAATTTATATTAATGAACAAAAATTAACGATGACGTCAGTATGATTCTTGTCACTAATTAACTAAGTTTTTTCTTATAGTTAGGTATTTGAATTGTATCATTCAAATACTGTGTATTTAGTTCAAAGAAACTACAAAAAGCTTAAGAGTCAACGGATATTTTGTTGCACTTTTCTATTTATATTTAATGATTAAAAATGTTTTAGCAGAATAAACAAATAGTTATACTAGTAGTAGTCGTCAGCTGTCACGCTGATGTGTAGTCAACGCATCATATTCCTTCGTTAACAAGGTTACCAAGCGTTGACATTAAAACCTTCTTATTCATCAACCTCCTCTGGTTTTTCCTCTCATTCACAAAAATGRACATCCAAGAATCAATCATTCGTCAAACCCAAGTTTCAATCATACTTGCGAACCACCTTCTCTCAACGAATTCCACACACTCCAACGTTGTTTTCTCTCCGATTTCCCTCTACGTTGTTCTGGGATTGGTCGCTGCCGGTTCCAGAGGTCAAACACTCGATCAGTTGCTCTATTTTCTCAAAGCAATCACCATTGATGATCTCAACGCTCTTTGTTCGCAGCTTCTGCCCTTGGTGTTCGCCGACGGTAGACCAAACGGTGGCCCTTGTTTGTGTTTTGTGAATGGTGTTTGGGTCGAGCAACAACTTCCTCTTAAACCTTCTTTTAAACATGTAGTGGAAAGTGTGTATAAGGCAGCTTCTTATCAAGTGGATTTCATAACCAAGGTCAGTTGTACTGCTTTTTGCATTTGCTTCTTTTATAACATAATTATGTATGTTTGTTTTACTTGTAAGCCCAATTTTGTTGTAATCAATCCATGTAATCTTGCCTTTTGTCTTCAAATTAGCTGGTCTCATCTTCTTGATCAAACATACATAACTTTTTCTTTGCCATGGATAACATTTTCACTTATTGATGAACCAAGGCTGATGAGGTAACCGAAGAAGTGAATTTGTGGGCCRAAAAGCAGACGAGTGGCCTTATCGAACAGATCCTTCCTGCTGGTGCAGTTACGGAATATACCAGGCTCGTCTTTGCAAATGCAGTCTACTTCAAGGGAGCCTGGAATGAGAAATTTGACCCATCAAAAACGAAAGACTAYGACTTCCACCTCCTCAACGGGAACAAAGTTCGAGCACCCTTCATGACCAGCAACAAGAAGCAACTCGTGAGTTCATATGACGGTTTCAAAGTCTTGGGTCTTCCCTATCAACAAGGCCAAGATAAACGACGCTTCACAATGTACTTCTATCTCCCAGATGCAAAACATGGGCTCCCTTCTTTGATACAGAAAGTAGGTTCTGGATCTGATTTCTTGGGACGTCACGTCCCTTACGAAAAAGTAGAAGTTGAGCGGTTTTTGATCCCAAAATTTAAGATATCGTTTGCGTTTGAAGCTTCTGAGATGTTGAAGGAACTAGGTCTTGATTTGCCGTTCTCCGAAGTRGCAGGCCTAACTGAAATGGTGGAGTGCTTGGTGGTGGGTCGAAAGCTRTATGTTTCAAGCATTCATCACAAATCGTTTTTGGAGGTGAATGAAGAAGGTACAGAAGCTGCAGCAGCATCTGCAGTCGTTATRGAGGCGCAATGCCTGAGGAATAAGGTCGACTTTGTAGCAGATCATCCGTTTTTGTTTGTGATTAGAGAAGATACGACTGGAGTGGTGCTGTTTATGGGACAGGTGACTGACCCTCGTGATTCTTGATTGTAATCTTAACGCGTATGATGCTTGTATTTGGTTTGTAATGTTTCAATAAGTCTCTAGCTTTGAATAAGTAGTCTCAATCTATATAGCCTTAAGATTTCATTAAGGTGTGTTAAGATTGTGGGATTATGCTTATTCATAAACATTCAGAGTCGTTATCATGTGTTAATGTATCTCAAGTTCGAGCCTAGAGGGGTGGTTGGGGTGGCACGTGCCACCATGTTGTTCCTACGTTGTAGCATAAAACAATTTAGATTTGTGAAAGGTACAACCCTTTTTGTTTTAAAAGGTGCAAYCCTTTTTGTTTTAAAAGGTGCAACCATTTTATATGGTGTCATCATATGGGAAAATTCATGGGTCCTCTCCTGATATATATTATAGTTGGGTATTTCCTAATAACTTATGTTAACACTTAAACATGGCTAGTTTCATATATGTTACGATTTCTATGAGAGGTTAATTAAGTAGTTATGTTAAGCTTTGTATCACCCTACAATAATGTAATTGAAGTTCGCTTAATCACGAAAATGTCACCACGTCAATGTATGTTGGATCATGGTACATGGTTCATCAGAGAGGGTTCTTACTTCTTACGGTTACGGTTCTTACAAAAGGAAAAGTTTTTACGCCTATAATACCTATAACATATGTAGTGGTGTATATATTTTAGATTTAAAAATAAAAGAGTAATTTAATTTTATTAAAAAATTAAAATGAGGTATTTTGTTTATCGTTACTTACATGAATTCAAACATGGTTTTTAAAAAAAATTCTTCCACGCATGCACTATTATCATATACATTTGAATTTTATATAACATGCATTATTCAACGGTATTTGATGCATAATAATTCTAAATWATAATAAAACTACATCGGTAACTACAAAAATAAATCCATCAAAAAACTAAAAATATAATATTGCAACGGATATAAATTAACATTTTGTAGGCAAGAAGTGTGTCATCATCTAAAAGTCAYGATGATAGAGATAGAGATAGGTATATCAAAGTTACATTAGAACTGAAATATATCGTAGTTGTCTACTTGTAATTAATCTCTATATAAATGGTCTATTATTAATGAGAATTACATATTCTTTSTCTCTATTCTATTGTTGTTATTCACTTTCAGTTATTCTATAACACATTATCAGCACGTAAGCTTTAGTATTTATTGTGTACCCCCCGTTAAACGGTTGTTCTGTTTGTTGCCCAACTCTGTTRAATGGTTTGAWACCTGGTACTTCAATCCAAKTAAAGCTTTTCTATGTCYTTTTTTATATGYAAGTATTTTAGGATTAAATTAGTAATCAAATATAGTTTATGATTTGATCTATATAATGTGTTTGTTATATTTCCATTGTTGATATCAATTGAATATTAAGAAAAAAAGTAAAACCAATTAGAATTAATAATAATTTAATTTTTATTGAGACAATGAAATTGATAAAAATGGATCACTAMAAAAATGCAGAGTATCAGCGAGGTAAAAATCCTTCGTAAATCCGTCGCTGAAAGGGCAATCCGTCGCTGATACTCCGTCGGTCAAATAGTCGTAGGTAATGTTATCAGCGACGGATCAGCGAGGATTTCAGCGACGGATCTGCGATGGAACTTTCAGCGATGGTTCAGCAAGGGAAGTATTTAGCGACGGAACTTTCAGCGAGGGATCTGCGACAGATCTTTCAGCGACGGATCTGCGATAGACCTTTCAGCGACAGATTTGATAGGGAACCTTCAGCGACGGATCTTTCAGCGACGGTACTACCAACCAATTATAATTAGTAAACTGAATTTATAGTTGGTACACATGTTAGTTGGTTTGGTTTGGTACAAAATTGTAGCCCCTATGAAAAGTAAGTTTCAACTATGCGCYTTTAGYTGCAAYGTCATGTCTCAACAAGAAGCCATTGAAACGACATGTTGTCTCTATAAACTGTTTTAATGGTAAATTGAYTTTTAGCAACGACAAAAATCGTTGCTAAAAGCATTGTTTCCTTTTGTTTTTGATTAACCTAGATCTCCGACCTGCCATGCAAATCGACWAATCCCAGGGCGACSGCCTGCTTTGCAGATAGCCCGAAGTCACCGTATTTCAACTTTCGTGGCCATAAGGGGATTTTTATTCAAMCTTGGATTTGAACMTGGRATCTCCTAATACTTTTGACCTTTGGAGCCAAGCTCAAACCAATCAGGCACCACCCTTGTGGTTAAAATCGTTGTTTCTTGTGGTAGCTAATTRTTCGTACTATTTATTTARGGGGACACGGACGARTCCTGACTAGCACTAACGCATGAAATCACTGAACTRCTTAGATTAYATGGCTTGATCTACTAACCGGGGGGCTAGCCAGCCAATACAAGAAAAATGCTAATTAGAGACGAAAAAAATTTGGTCACTAAAAATATGAAATTGATCACTAAGGCCGCTTAGTGACCAAAATTTGGATGCTCACTTCTCGTCACTAAATGTCCATCACGGATTTGGGCTAATTACTAAATACAAAAAAGGTCATTAATCAGTGACAAAATTAGAGTGGTTACTTTGATAGTGACAATCGTCACTAAACCACTGAAAGTGGTCACTAACTAACTTGACTATTAGTGACCAAAGTTAGTGACCACCATGAAGTAGGTTACTGGTTGGGTTTAGATAACGGCTCCKTTAATATCTGTTAAAGTCCATTAGTTTTCAAATATGTGGTCACTGAAATTAATGGTTGTTAGTTACCAAAAACCTGGTCACTAATTAAGAAATTATGAAGAAAAAGTTTGTCACTAAAATTCTACTATAATTGTTATTGCAATAAAATCAAAACATACTAATTCGTAATGATGAAAATCTAAAATATTAATTCCAATCGTATAATTTGATCACAACTAAAAACATATTGCATAAAASAAGTCGTATTGATTCTACAAAACTCATTTAAAAGTTAGAAACTGAACCARTTCAACCTTTCTTATTAGCACTACTACAAGGAAGGTGAGTAGCAACAATGTCGCTTGAACCACAACCCGTACACATACTTTCATCTTCTAAAGCCTCCTCAAGTCATGTTTCTCAAAATAATCAGATGATAACTCCATTCTGATTAGCAATGAAACAAGGTCCACATTAGAAACCCATTTGTCAACAACCATGAAAGATACATGGAGAGCATACTTATATATTTTCCACCACATAAATCTGAAAATTCCTTTTCTGTCAATTGATACATGCAAAAACCGCTTGCTTCARTATCAGCAACTTGACACAAGCAAAAGTCGTTTAACATAGTAAGTTTCAGGTATGTTAACTTATGTTGACGTTTAACATGGYATATATTATAGTTGAGTATTTTAACTTATGTTGACACTTAACATGGTAAGGTTCAGGTATGTTAAGACTTCTAAGAGAGGTTAATTAAGTAGTTATGTTAAGCTTTGTATCGGCCTACAACAATGTAATTGAAGTTCGCTTAATCACGAAAATGTCACCACGTCAATCAAGTATGTTGGATCTGTAGAGTCGGTCGCAGTTAAAGTATCATATTACAAAGTGAATTACGGTCCCAAAATGGTAACAATAAATCACAGTGCAAACTAACCCAATACAACAAATGCGGATTAATGAGATCTAGATGTTGTATATTATGGTCTAACATATCATACTGATCTACAAATGTAAAATTAGCAGTTATATCAAGTATACGATCAAATATCAAAACAACACATAAATCAAGACAACAAGATTTAACGTGGTTCCACTATCGAGGTGATAGTGTGCATCCACAGGGATTGAGAGATCGATTTATCACTAACCGGGAGAATTTACGTGTTTTACGAGATCCTTGGATCAACGAATCAGCTACCCAAAGTTTTCCCAAAACAAAGTTATATATAGATATATATATATATATATATATATATATATATATAAAACAAAAATATGACGAGAGGAAAAACAAATGGAAGAAAGAAACTTGGTGGTGTTATTTCCTTTTTACATCCCACATGCATGCGCGCACACACACACACACACACACATATATATATATATATATATATATATAAGAAAAATGGGCGACAACCCCTTTCATTGCATAGCAAATTGGCAAGTTGCATGCATATTGTAGGTATGGCAACGGGATGGGGATGGGGCGGGTTTTGTAATCCCCGGTCCCGACCCCGGTTTGTAGTAACATCCCTCGGCCCCGGTCCCTGGCGGGTACGGGGATTATCATTCCGTCCCCAGTTAAATCTCTAGCAATCCCCWGTCAATCCCCGGTCAAACCCCATAAATAGTATTCTTTAGTTTGATTCTACGGGGGATCCTCGGCCCCAGTTTGAGTAACATCCCCCGTCCCCGGTTTGAGTTTACCAGGGATTCCCAGCCCCGGGACCCGTTTTAGCGAGGAATCCCCGTTTCTGTTCGGGTCGRGTGAACCGGGTTACCCACCGGGTCGGGACAAATCACCATCCCTAGCATGTTGATGATGTCATGCATGTGCCTTCAAAATAGCATGGGTGGCAGACGTAGGCAAACATAGAGTGGACGATACCATCATGTAAGTTGGCAACTTGAAATACCATCATTGGTTAATATTAATTTTAGTCTATGCATTGATCACTTGTACCTTCAGCTTGGTGAGTTGTACAACATCCTTATAACATACCAAAATTAAATTTTTCAACACTCCACCATGATGTGCAAATCACCCAATAGAACCAAATCGCGAACCAATCCAATGAGCTCGAATAAATAACTGATAGAGATTGACACGAGGTGAAAAATGCATTTTGACCATGACGAGGTTCGGCTCGGCCATCATCCGTCAAAGCCAAAAGCAAAAAATATGCAAGTGTGCAATCTCAATAAAACGAAACGAGTTAAACAACCCAAAACACGTACCAAGTAATAACTCCACAAAGATGTTGCTATGTCATCTGTAGTAATATTCTCATCTCTCCCACAAGGTGCCGCACGACATTAACATAATCTAAGYTGGATCAAATTTGAGCAATACTCGAATTTTGCTGGTCGTAACAATTTTGTGAACATGTTAGCAACATTATCGTCAGTGATGATTTTCTTCAAGTGCACCACTTTTGCATCATGTAAAGCTACCAAAAATGCATCTTGTACATTAATGTGCTTTGTACGAGAGTTGAACGCCAAATTTGTAGCCAAGTGAATCGCACTCTGGCTATCACAATTAATATGAATAGTAGACTTCTTCAAGCCCAAACCAACCAAGAGTTCCTGTAAATGAACCGCTTCTTTAGCAGGCTCAACTGCCGCAAT